CTCGCTCCAGAGGGGGTGGGGAGGGCAGAGCGAAGGCACGGGGCAGCCGAGGCGGAGGCCGGGAGGGAGGGTCCCGCGGGGTCGGGGAGGCGCCCGCTGGTTGGGTTTCGTTTCTCCGGCGCGCGGTTTCGTTTTCCCCGAGGCCGTCCCCACCCGGCTATTCCGCCTGTCTCCGCAGGGTCCAGCCTGCGACTACCCGTCCAGGCCCGGACGCTGGCCCAACACTTGTGACTTCACGTGTGCGCGCGGACACATCTGAAGTCACACCTACAGCCACCTTTGCCAAAGAATACACTTAGGCAACGTCAGTGGCTGCATACGCTCAATCCACATCTGTGACCCCCAACACCTGTGACACCTGGGTCACACCTGTGACACCTGGCCGCACTACCTGTGGCCACGGCCTGACACCTGCAGTGACACGCGTGTCCTCACCACCTCACCTGTCACAACACCCGAGCTCCACCTGTGACCGCAGCCTCTCACTGCCTGGACAGCCCTTACAGAGGGAGCATGGCCTTGGCTCCTGAGAGGTGAGAGCCAGGCCGCCCTTCCAGATGCCCGTGCCCATTCCCCTTGCCGCCGGGCCCTGACACCGTGGCACTTGCCTGCAGGGGTGCCCCGCGCGTGCTGTTTGGAAAGTGGCTTCTGAGTGAGATCAGCAGCGGCCGCTACCAGGGGCTGCGGTGGCTGGACCAGGCCCACACGTGCTTCCGCGTGCCCTGGAAGCATTTCGGGCGCAAGGACCTGAGCGAGGCTGACGCACGCATCTTCAAGGTGGGACCCCAGCTCCGCCCCGATGGGGGGACCTGACTAGGACCCGGAAGACCCTGCTCCGGTACCCACATCTTCTGTCCCCCACCCCAGGCCTGGGCGGTGGCCCGCGGCAGGGGGCCACCCAGCAGCAATGGAGGTGATTGGCCACCCCTGGAAGCTGCGGAGCGTGCAGGCTGGAAAACCAACTTCCGCTGCGCCCTGCGCAGCACGCAGCTTTTCAAGATGCTTCAAGACAATTCGGGGGACCCCACCGACCCGCACAAGGTGTACGTGCTCAGCCCAGAGCTGGTGTGGAGAGGTGAGGAGCACCTGGGGCCAGGGAAGCAGGTGGATCCGGGCAGAGAAAAGCCCTGCAGGGGGCGCTGGGGCTCTGTTCGCTGGCTGGGTCACATCTGGGTTCTTGGAAGTCTGCCCCCCGCCCCACCTAGACCACAGTCCTGGGCTGGGCGTGGTGCTAGGTTGTTGTGGGGGGCAGGGAAGGGAGTTTCAGCAAGGATGCTGTTGGAGGCTATTGGGACAAGTGAACCGGAGGGACTACTCAGGCATTCACAGCCAGGTCTCTCCTGAGGTCCTAATGCATCCCCCAACTCCATTCTCCTTCAGGAGGCCCAGGCATGGACCAGGGGGAGGAAGAGGACCTCAAAAATGCCCCACCCACACAGGTACAGTCTCTGCTCACCTTGCTCCCAGGCGCCACTTCCCACCAGGGCTGGGGAGCTGCTCAGAGTGACACTGTCTTCCCTGCAGGGCTGGCCTCAGGGTCCATTCCTGGCAGGAGGAGATGTTGACCCTCCAGCCCTGAGACCTTTTCCTGCCAATGACAGCGAGGCCCAGGACCTCTTGCTGCAGGCTGTGCAGCAGAGTCACCTAGGGGACCATCTGCTGGAAGCTGCCTGGAGTGGGGAACTGGTCCCCCCGCAGGCTCCTGGTGAGAGGCAGGAGGGGTTGGCCCTGAGCCAGGGCTGTGGTGGGAGTGAGGGGTCTCTGCCCTGCAGGGAAATGTGCCTAGGGAGAAGCAGGCAGGACAGCAGAACCCTTTGGGGGCGGGGTAGGGGGGTATTGCACCAGAACTGACTAGCAAAGTGGGGTACCAGGAGCAGGGCTGCAGGCCCCAGGGGTGGGACTAGGCACCAGGGCAGGGACAGTCCTGCAGGAGCGTGTTGGACTGCTGAGCCAGTTCTCCTGCTCACTGTGGTCGTCCTCCTCAGGCCCCGGGCTCCCTACTGGGGAGCTGTATTCCACATGGGAAGTGGAGGCTGCCCCCATGCCCAGGCCCCAGCACCCAGTCCTGATGACAGGTGAGAGGGGCTGGGGCGCATGGTGAAGTAAGGGGGTGGGGACATGGTGCCAGCTCAGGTTTTGTTCCCCAGATGCAGGCCAGGGGCCAGCCCCCACGCCCCCGTACCAGGCAGAGCCCCACATAGCACCCGCCGCTAACACCTGCACCCCAGTGGGAGGTGAGTGCCCTGGAGGGTGGGAGTGGGGGAGGCCCTTCTCATCCATCTCCACTGCTCACAGCTTGGTCTGCACATAGAGCCCGGCCTGCATGCCCTGGACGTGACCATCATGTACAAGGGCCGCACGGTGCTGCAGGAGGTGGTGAGGTTCCCAAGCTGTGTGCTTCTGTATGGCACCCCCAGCCTGGCTGTCCAGGCCACAGAGCCCCAGCACGTGGTGTTCCCCAGCCCTGCGGAGCTCCCTGACCAGAAGCAGCTGCGCTACACGGAGGAGCTGCTGCGGCATGTGGCCCCCGGCCTGCAGCTGGAGCTGCGGGGGCTGGGGCTGTGGGCCCGGCGCATGGGCAAGTGCAAGGTGTACTGGGAGGTGGGCGGCCCCTTGGGCACCGCCAGCCCCTCCACTCCTGCCTCCCTGCTGGAGCGGAACCTTGACACTCCCATCTTTGACTTCGGCACCTTCTTCCGAGGTTAGTGAGACCCCTGCCTAGAAGGCTGTGCCCAGGTGGGCCCTGGAAGCACCTGCTACCCTGTGCTCACCTGAGCCTCCTCCTGCAGAGCTCAGAGAATTCCAGGCACGGCAGCGCCGGGGCTCCCCACACTATACCATCTACCTGGGCTTTGGGCAGGACCTGGCATCTGGGAGGCCCAAGGAGAAGAGCCTGATCCTGGTGAAGGTGAGACTGGAGCCCTGGTGAGGGGAAGGCCCCACAGCCTGGCTAACCTGACAGTCATTCTCCCCGCAGCTGGAGCCCTGTCTGTGCCGGGTGTACCTGGAGGGTGTGCAGCGTGAAGGTGCGTCCTCCCTGGACAGCAGCAGCCTCAGCCTCTGCCTGTCCAGCACCAACAGTCTCTTTGAGGACCTTGAGCACCTCCTCATGGAGCTGGAGCAGCCCGCCTAGGGCCAGACCCTAGCCCCTCCCCAGACAATAAAAAGAATGCAAACCACCAGTGCTGGCGTCCTGACTGAGTGGGCTGGGGGGGGCGGGGTGGAGATGGTCCGGGCCCCAGCTTTGGGGACTGTCAGGCTCCTTTGCCAGCAGCACCCTGGCTGGACATGGCAGGGGCCTCACACCCAAGTGCATGGAGACCTCCCCTGCACACCCACTCTCCTGTCCTCAGATGGAGAGACTCAAACCACATGCTTTAGAATCACAAAACTGCTCAAAGAAGGCAAATGCCCTTGAGACAGCAGGCGTCAGAGAGGGCAGCTCCTGCCAGGTGTGCTGGGGAGGGGAGCATTGCCTGGGGCTCCCCCAGCCCCGTGAAGAGCCAACTCTGTCTGTGTCCAGCCTGTCCCCAGTCTCCAGGACCCGCCAACACTGCCCCGCCTTACTGGAGGCAGCTGAGTTGAGCACAAACTCTAGCAAGTATTCCCAGCAACACAACTGGGAGACAACAGGAGCGAACTCCCAGTTCAGAGACATGGGTGGGGGGCCGCTGCGAGATTGGTCAAGAAGCCACCCGACACCAGGGGGTCCCGCTGACCACTAAAGGCTTCACCTTTCAAGTACTGAGTCACCCGACAAGCTTCTAAAGATAATCCATTTTTGATAAATTAGAACACAGTGGAAACTATCTATAATATACATATAAAAAAGTCCAGTTTTCAACTGTGAACAAGCAGGTGCACAAGCCAGGAGTCACCACAGGAACCCTGAAGGCAGGAGCACTGGTGTCCCCAGTTTTCTGTCACTCCTGGCAGAGCCACTTGGGGACACAAATGCCAGCAGCCACTTGGCCTCAGCCCTCGGCCGCCTGGGCCTCTGGGGCCTCCGGGGCCGCCTGGGCCTCCGGGGCGGGCAGCTCCTCCCCAGGCTCAGCCTTCTTGTGCCTGCGCATGTGCCTGTACTTGTCCACGTAGGCCTTCACCAGGTTGGCCACCTTCACGGGGTTGATCTCACCGCTCTTGCTGTGGCAGATCTGCAGAAACAGTTGCAGCCACCTAGACTCCCTTTCACATCCAGACATGCAGAATCCTCGCCCTGCCCTCCCACGGTAGCACCCTGGGCCATGTGGGGACAGAATGCAGTGGGCCCCCTACAAGGGTCACGGGCTGGAGGGAAGCACGGACCGAACTCAGATCCTGGGCATGAGCCATTGCTACAGATAGCCCTGCTTGTCTCTCAGGGCCTTGTCTTCCCACCTCTAGGCTGGGCGTGGACTGGGCGAGTGTAGATGTCACCCATTATCTTAGTCTATTTAACACGCAACAGAAACTTCCACATGTCTCGTGGACACTGTGTGCTCTTCCTGAATATCTAACAGGTCTAACATGAGGACTGACCCGAGCCCTGCAGCCACTATGTGGCAAGGCTGCCCCCCAGACATCTGTTGACAAGAAGCGGTGCTGACTGCCACACACGTGGTGACCGGCCCCTGCGTACAGCACCGTGCTGCTCACCTTCTGCACGGCCTTGCGCAGGATGTCCTTGTACTCGTCCTTGGTCACCTCCCTCTTCTGGTAGAAGGGCTTGATGGCCAGCTTCACCTCCTCCACAGCCCTCTCCTGCATGTGCAACTTCTTCATGTACTAGGAGGAAAGAACGTGTGTGACCCTGCCAGGTGGGACAACCAGGGCAGAGGCCTGGAGGGCCCTTTGGCAAGAAGCACCAGGGCCCTGGAACATCTTCTCAGCCCCAGGAGCAGCAGGGGCGGAACTGCCTGCTCTCCACTGTCCTGACCGGGGCCCACCCACGCTGCGCTGTCCCTAAACTCAGCCTGAGAACATCACTTTCAAAGCGGGATGAGAGCCGGGAGCCGGAGGGCAGGACTCACCTCCTCCTTTCTGGTCTTCTCTGCGGCTGCCCTGGGAGTGGCGGTCCTCTCCTCCGAGCTGTTGGCAGTGGCGGCTTGGCCGGCAGGCTCTGAGGCTGAAGTCAGGGCAGTGGGCACTGGGGCCGGGCTCTGGGCCACCCCGCAGCCCGCCAGCGGAAGGCTCCCCTGCAGGATACACTGGACGATGGGCTGGCTGACCGGCACACAAGGCGGGATGCTCGTGGGCTGAGCCGGGGTGGGAGGCATGCTGGGCTTGTAAACCTGGGAAGAACAGCCCCGCTGAGTGCAGAGCCCCAACGCCAGCAGCCCCAGGGCTCAGTGCTCCCTGCTCCTGAAGCAAGACGGGGGGCGTGTGAGGCCTCTGCGCAGCCGCCGCAACCCAGACACCCACCTGAGGGGCACCTGCAGCTGGGACCCCCGGCTCCAGAAGCACATGGCTGGGAGGAGGCGCCTGCTTGACCACAGCACAGCCCTCATCCTCCACTTCCCAGGGCTTCTGCGGCCTAGGTGGTGGCGTCCCATGCGGTGGCGTCCCTGAGGGGAAAGACAGGAGGTAGGTGCTCAACGGCCACCTGCAGACCTGCTCCTGAGGAGTGGTCCTCCAGGGAGTGGAGCCCAACCTTGGGAGCCAGGGGGATGGGCCACCTCCCTGTCCCTCCCCACCCCCGACCTCATCCACATGGGAGGCACACAAGTGGTCCCAGACAGCCCTGGAAGCAGCCTCACAGTGGCCAAGACCCCTACTCACTTGGGACTCTGTCCTGGGCCAGGGCACTGCCCTGCGACTCTTGGAGGTTCCATGTGACTCTCTTCACCAGGGCTCTGGACCGCAGCAGGGGCGTCTGTGATCCTGCCTCCTCAGGCCTGGCCACCTCCTGTGCCCTCCCACTCACAGAGGGGCCGTCCTCCTTTCCCACGGGCACCATTGTGGTCTCGGCCACATCCTGCGTGTGTGTGTGCTGTTCTTGGGTGCCCTCTGCCTGGGGTAGGGGCAGCAAAGTGTCTGCACTGTGGATTAGTGACACCTCCCTCTGGATGACAGGCATGGCCAGGCTGGCCTCATGCAGCTGGCTGACAGGGGGGAACACGGGGACTGGCAGGAAGTCTCGTTCCGGGGAGGAGTCTGTGCTTTCAGGAGAAGGCGGTGAGCTCATGTCCTCAAGCTGGATGAAGACAGCCTCATTGGAGAGGTCCTCAAAGATGTGGCCTGCCTCCACGGACGCGCCATAGTCCAGGTCCTCAGCCTCACATTCGGCTGGCCCCTCCAGGACAGAGGGAACCTGTAAGGCTGCCTCGTCAGCCACAGCCACCTCTGGCGAGGTGCCCGCTTCTGTGGAGGCTGGTGGCCTGGCTGGGTGGTCTCTGTCCCACCTTGGCTCCCCCTGCAGGGAAGGGTGTGGAGAAGCCTCCCTCGCAGCCCTCTTCCTCTCTGGGGAGCGAGACCGGGGCTGCAGCTGCTTGTCGCGGGAACGTGGCCGCCAGGACTCCCGTCCCCTGTGCTCTGAGCTCAGGGACCGGGACCTCCACTTCCTGCTCGCTCTGGGCCTGGACGCACCCTCCTTGTCTGGCCGCTCACGGCTCCTCCCGCGCTGGTGCTTGTGCCTCCGGACCCTCTCCAGGCTGGGGGGAGAGCACTCCCTGCCCCGAGACCTGGGCCCCGACCGATGAGTCTTCTTCCGCCTGCTCTCGTAGTGCTCGTGGGGGGAGCTGCCGGGGCTCCCCGAGCGCGAACGGGGCGCCCTCCAGCCGCGGCCGCAGGAGCCCCTCCTCTGCTCCTTGCTCCTGCCCTTGGCCTTCTCCCTCTTGGCTCTCTCGCGGCTGCTGGAGCGGTCGCTGGAAGATCTCCGGCTCCTGGCCTTGGACCGGTGCCTCTTGGTGTAGTCCTCACCCACTGATGGCGACACTGACCGTGAGCTCCTGTCCCTGGAGCCGGAGCGGGACCCAGAGCGTGTCCCCCGGTGCTCCCTGGCTGCCCTCTTCCTCTTGGCTCTCTTCCTGCCATGGGAGCTGGAAGTGGAGCGGGACCGGCTCGGGGACGGCAGCTCCACGACCCTGTGGGTGGCTGCCCGTGGCACACCTGGGCTGGGCGGGTCGTCTGGCTCCAGCACAGTCACACAGGTCACTGTCCTCTCAGAACCAAAGAAGATGCTGTGGGATACCCTGTCTTCATCGTCCCAGGGCTCTGGCGGGGACAGGTCCTGCGCCCGGGCGGCAGTGCCACAGCTCTCTGCCGGCTCCTCCTCATCCAGCCCCTCTCGCTCGATGTCAGAGGCGCCCTCGGCGGCCCCCTCACCCCGGAGCCTGACCGTGCCAGAGGAAGACCCACGAGAGGGCTCAGGCTCTGTCCCAAAGACACCCTCCACCGTGTAGGAGGTAACGCAGCGCACAGCCTGGAACGTTGGTGCCTTGGGGCTGCTGATGGAGATGGTGCGTGTGATCTCAGAGGGCAGGAGGCCGGGGCCGAGACTTTCGGGGCTGCTGCTGGGGGGGCTCGAATCGGAGCCAGTGGGGTCAAAGGGGTCGTAGATCTCACTTTTGAGCTGCTTTGTCTTTCTGATGGAGAAGAGGGCTGAGGGGCTGTCCTTCCTCTGCAGCTTGCTGTCCACAGGCCGGAACGTGTTGCAGAAGCCGGGGCTGCACAGCCTGCCAGGATGTGCTGTGTTTCCAGGAATATTGATCCTGAAGCTCTCGAAAGTTGACCCAACACCCTTCCCTCTTGAGGGTCCCAGCGGGGCCAGGCTGCTATGGGAGCTGGGGGCTGGGGGCTGGGGACCACCCACATGTGTGCTGGGCTCCTGTGGGCCCCTGCTGCGGGGCTCACGCTCGGCCTGGACTCCTCGGCCTGGCTGCCCAGGCCCGCCCCTGCCCGTCAGTCGGCTGATGCAGGCGCTGGGGATCTGGACGCTCTGCCCATGGGCTGGGGCTGCATCTTCCCCACAGCTGCCTCTTTGGATCTTTGGTATCCTGGGCAGCTCAGAGATGGCGGCTCTTCTGGGAGCTGGTTTCAGGGGATGTCCTGGGACAGTACCTTTAGGTGGAGAGTTGGAAGAACTGCTGGCGATCTTTGACAAGGTGGTACCAGGAAGCAAAGTGTGCTTGGTGACACCATTGAGCCATGAGCTGTCAATCTGTCCTAGGCCGGGCCTGCTCCGGCTGCACAAGTTCTCAGCCTG